GGAGAAGGGACTGTAGACAGTCTTTCTGCATATTCAGTCATCCATCCATCCATCCATCCATCTATCCATCCATCTATCTATCTTCTATCTCTTTATCTTTTTTCTTTCTTCTTTACTTTCTTTTTAGAAATAGGGTCTCATGTAGCCCAGGTTGGTCTCAAACCCACTATGTAGCTGAGGCTGACCTTGAACTCCTGGGCCTCCTGCTTCTCCCCCCCGCCCCAGGTATTGAAATTACATGCCTGGTTTGCACAGGGCTGGGGATGGAACCCAGGCCCCAAGCATGCTGGATAAGTTCTCCTCTGTGGAGCCTCATCCCCAGACTCAAGTTCCTCCCGCTTCTGCTTTTAAGCAAGGATGTTTTCTCACTCCTACTTCTCCTTCCCCCACCCCCAAGATGGTTTTTATAGCAAAATTATGTCATGGAAGGCACAACTCAGGAGAATGAGAATGGTCTTGTTTCCCCTCAGGGTGCGCGTTAGACCCTTGAGGGACTTCCTTCTGACTTGGAGGCCTCACCAAATGGGAAACTGGAACTCACTATGTAGACCAGACTGGCTACAAACCCACAGAGATCTACCTGTCCCTGCCTTCTGAGTACTGGATGCATGAGCCACTATGCCTGGCTCTTTATCTACTTTTAAAACTACTTTGATAGTTCTAGGAAAGCCAGGATGGTTACATAGAGAAGCTCTGCCTCGGAAAGAAATAAAAAGAAAAAAGAAAAAACAAACAAACAAATTTGATAAACTATGCCCAGTGAAAATGACTAGAAAGTTGTTTCTTTCTAAAAAGCAATAATACAGTTAATAAAAGACAAAGGTCTGAATGTGGGAAAACTCAAAATGCTCACACTGGTCACTTTTGGAGAGACTGAAATTGCCAGTAAATTTTCTCATGTTTCTTTTAGGACTCTGTATTCCTCTCTTTTTTCTTTTCATAATCAAGAATTATCTAATGTCACTTTAAGAAACATTATTTAGCTAAGTGTGGTTTAGACCTGTAATCTCAGAATTTGGGAGGCAGAAAGAGGATCAGGAGTTCAAAGCCAGCCTGGGCTACAAGAGACTCTATCTCTTAAAAAAATGTATTTAAGATGTAATACATAAACACAGGAACCTGGGGCTTCTCTCTCATAATCTCCACATCCTCAGACTCCAGAAGGGAGTGGATGGCTGGACAAGATTGAGATCAACAGGACCTGGACCTTGGCCGAGGTCAGAGGCCTGTGATGAGGAAACCAAGGCGGGGATGGGAAAATCCCAAGAGAGCTGAGTGGTAGCAATGACTGCTCCTAAGACTTTGTTCCAGCGATTCTGTTAATCACCATTCACCCTGGCCAGGCATGGTGGTGCATGCCTTTGATCCAAGCATTCTGGAGGCAGAGGCAGAGGCAGGCGGATCTCTGTGAGTTTGAGGCTAGCCTGATCTACATAGCAAGTTCCAGGACATCCAGGACTGCACAACACTAGCTTGTCCAAAACTCAACAATGGTTGGGACATGGAGCCCTTCTTGTGACCTCAGAGCTAGAGGTACCCACGACATTGTCTAGCTCTTCCTGCTCCGATGCCCACAGCTTCCGCTTCCTGTGCTCAGACCATTGTTTATCCCACCCCCCCCCCCACTCTCGTCTTGGCTCCCCAGGACCCCATGACCAAGGCCAGCCCCCCATCCTCAGCCCCCTCTCCAGCTATCTATGGTTGGAGAAGGCTGTCCTGCCTGCCCTATGTTCTACTCGTCTTTCCATCTTGTCTGAGGGGGAGAGACGCCTCCTCCAAGGAGCCCGCGTGCTTGTTCTGACCTGCTGTCCCCCATCTGTCCCAAGAGGAGCACTCTGCTGTGACTTGCTTATCTGCAGATGGCACTTGGGAAGTGACTGAGTGAGTGGTGGCCAAAGCCTCGAAGAGACTGTCCCCAGGAGTAGAGCAGGGTTATGTGGCCAGAGCAGCCACCCATTAACACTGAGGAGTCTTGGCCGTTTTCCAGCATTGGGGCACAGCGGGGAAGTGGCATCGCTGGCAGGGCCACCCACCCCTCCGCATTCTGACCGGCTCTGCCCTCTGTACTGGATATAAATATAGAAAACAAACAGCCCACTCTTGGTGGAAACTAAAAATAGGAAGCTTGGAATCCGGCTTCCCAGACTTCCCTGGCCAGGACCACACAGGTGTAGCGGCGGATATTGGGGGGACACGGGCCCTCACTCCGTACAGCCCCCATGGGGAGGAGTTAGGGGAGGTCTGGGTTCCTGCCAGAGAGGCTTGTTCTTACACTCGGCTCTTCTGACAGCTCGTTTCATTTATGACCCTGAGATGAACGGAGCCACTGCAGTGCTCTTAGCTGGGATGTGGGGTGCGGTGGAGAACTGCCCCTTCCTGGGCTGTGCTGGGGGTCTGGTGGTTTGTGGCCATGCAGGCCGGGGGCAGGGAAGGGTACTGGTTAAGAAGGGAGGCAGATCTGGGTCTGTGTCAGGTCCTGTCCCCATGTCACATGGCAGCCCAGACTTGTTTCCTGTGGCCCAGACAAGATGGGCGCTTCTCAGGACAAGAGTCAAAGCCATCCCGGGCCTGATGTCACAGGCTTGGGTCCTTTCTGGGAACTGCCTCTTAGTCAGCCACTAAGCCAGTCACAGATCATTAAGTCAGCGTATTCTTGACTCTTCAGATGAGACAGGAGGACCTTGGGGCTTCCAGACTGGCAGCATTCTGGCCTCCTCGCCTGGGCTGGCTGGCTGTGCCAGATCCTTTGATTCTGGACAGTGACCGAGCCTGGCTGGGGCCGCTGAGCCGAGGAGCCTTCCCACCCAGAAGTCCGTTCTCCCCCAGTCCTTGTCTTCCGGTGGGACCTGGGAGCTCAGGGTCCGCAACTGTGCTAACATACGGGACATGTGACCAGGAGAGTGGCTCTGAAGGGCAGAGACAGGAAGCTGGTACTGTCACTACCTGGGCAGGGCAAGAGCAACTCTCTTGAGGCTGAGGAGTTCTTCCTAAACATCCATCCACATTTCTCTCCAAAGCAGGGGTTTGGGGGTGGGTAGGGAGGGACTGGATGGGGGGGAGTGCTTTTTTCTCTCTGCCACTCCTTCTGCCACCCACAGGCCACAGAGGTAACTGCGGGGCTTCCTCAGGGCCCTGCCTCTAGCTAGGCCAGGACTTCTCTTGGTTTGTTACCTTTTGACACGCAGGGTGCAGTTGACAGGAGAAAAAGTCAGGGCTTTTGTTAAATTGTAGGGGCCGCCTTACAGGTCCACCCTCAGATAAACCAATTAAAAGAACGTGGAACTGTGCAGATGTTGCTTCTAACCCAAGGAGAGGCCCTGCTGGGGGACCCACTCAGGGTGTACCTGGGGGCAGGTTCTATGGTAGTGGTGGTCAGAATTCTGTGGGCAGAGCTGCTGCTGGGTAGGAAAACAGGAACTTCCTGTTGGGGGCTGATCTTGGGCAGGCTAACACAACAGGGCAGGACCTCAGAACTTTGAGGAGGGCACCACAGCACTTTGGCTGTCTTACGAAAATCTGTCTGTCTGTCTGTTCCATCTGGTCAGGCACAGGCTGGGGTAGGGTTCTGAACCTCCCTGATGGAAGGGTAAAAAGGGATTATCAGGCTGGGTCCCCCACTGTCATCCACAGCCCCCTGTTTTCAGGGTGTGGTCTCAGCTTGGCAACCACCAGCTACAGGGAGCCATGGGACCCATGACAGCTCTTTCTTACTCAGCTACCTCATCTCCAAATGACCGCTTTGCCGCCCTGTGTCCCAGCAAGCCTACCCTGGTGGGGGTGAGGGACACCTACTTCAGAGGGGCTTACCAAAGGGATCCTTATTTCCTAGAGCTCCTCACTCTGGAAAGGTCTTCACCTAAGAGGGGTTCTCACTCTTGAGGGGCCTCCGCCACACCCGTTCCAGGGTACCCACCCGGAAGGTTCCACACCGGGGTGTCCGGCTGCTCCTTCAACCTGTCCCTTCTCAAATCTGATCTGTGTCAGACAGGACTGTGCAGGAACATGATTGACATGGCCAGCAGAGGGAAAACAGGTTGGTGTAATCTTGAGGGTCTATCTGATGTTCTGGGGTGCTAGCCCAGCCAGGAGGGTGGCCTTTTAGAGGTCCTTGGGCCAGGTCTCTGGAGCTACCTCGATGGAGCAGGTTGGAGGACTTCCCAGCACGGGGGTATCTCCCACACAGCCAGCCCTGTCTCCTGCCCAGGAGCAGGAGGTTCCCCCCCACACAACTCTAGAAGACCAACACAGGTCCTTCAAGGCATCTGTTATATTATTGTAACAAATACAATTTTCATTTTACAGTTAAATAGTACCCAAGATGGGCAGTTGACTGTACAAGCGAATTGTGCATTAAAAAAAAAACCAACAACAAACACATCAAAGCAGCCTATAGTGCAAAGCAGGCCCTCTCCTCCCCCTGGACTCTGAGCCCGCTTCAGGAAGACCTGCTCACAGCAGGTAGGGTACTTCAGGGGAACAATGTCACCAAGGATCAGCACCCACCAGCACACTTACAGTGACATTGTATCAAGCCCTTCAGCCTCCTTGTGCTTCTAGCCAGTGCTTCCAGGTAGCACTTTAAAGCAGCCTTGCGAGTAAGGACCCATTTTTACCAGCCCCCGCTGCCTGTACTGACCGTAGGACCAAAAACAGACTGAGCTGTCACTGTTAATCAGAGATGGGAAAGAGAAGTAATGGCGTGTGTGTGATTTCCCATCTCCACCTGCGTTTGGATATCAGGAAGGGCAGTTGTCTGGGGTGGTTTGCACAGTGTTGGGTGCTAGGACCCTGGAGGTGTCTTCCTTGGTAGCCTGGGCCAGCCTACACCATGGACCAGTAGTGAGGCAGGTAGGAGGGCAATGGGCTATAGCTGCTTCCTGAGAAGAGGTGAGGAGACCCCTCTGGGTGCAGGAGCTGGAAGGCTAACTCAGCTACTTCCAAGAGATAGAAAATGTTTTGGTCCCGCCCCCCCCCCCCCCCCCCCCAGCAGGTAGGTTAAAAGAAACTGTAACAAACAAGAGGCTTTTGCAAGGGATTGTCAGGACTCTCTGACCTGCGGAGTGCTTACCGGTGGGGGAAGGCCAAGCACTACCACAGAGACGTCACTAAGGAGCCTTTTAGAGGAACGCTCCAAGGCCACACAGGATGTGGCTCACTCAGTTTGTGGAGCAGCTCTGGTAAAGCCTTCTAACCTAGCCCACTGTCAGTTTCCCACAGTCTCCATGACCCAAGCCCTAGGCCAAGACCTCACTTCCCATCTGACCTCTGTCTGGACACTGATCTGCAATTGCACACCTCAGCAGAGACCCCAAAAGGTCTCCTGGAGCCCCCTGCCCTCCTATGAGGAATGTGGGGTCCGAGAGTGGCAGGATCCTGCTGACATCACACCAGTAGAGGCGGGGCTTTCAGATACACAGTACCTCATCTCTCAGACTTCGTTTTAAAACGCATGACGAAGCCACTTTTTCTTTGGCTTCTAGGCTGTTTTCTTCTTATAAACATGTAGGGAGCAGAGCTGCGGGTTGGGTTGGGAGTCAAGACCTGGGACACAGCTCGGCTGGACCGAGGGAGCCTACTGAGCAGGGATGTTGGCCATCCCATTGCTTCCCACGGTGAGCCTTTCTGCTCCCACCTCTCTGCCCCTGAGAACCAAGCTGTCCCTTCAGGCTGGAATGTGCTGGGAGGTGTTGAGGCCATCCTCACTTTAGGGACCTGCCACCAGGGATGGGTCTGCTCTGGAGCTTGATATCTTTAGGGGAAGCTAGAACTGGCCAAGGATCACTTGCCTAGGGTAATGGGGGAAGTCAAGTCTGGGATTGTGGGGGTGTGTCCTGGGTCCTTCATCTCAGGGGTTGGGGTTTCCAGTTGACTTGATGGGTACGAATGCAGAGTGAGGGCTGGTCCCCGGGTGCAGGGTGAGAGAGAGGAAGTATGGATATCTCCGAGCCTGGGCTTCTCTTGCCAGCAAAGGCCTCCTTCCTCATGGACAGGGGTAGCCTCTGACTCAGGAGATAATCCTAGGCATGGCTGGAGAAAACAGAGGTGGGTCTGGGCTGGGGCAGTGTCCTGGGGGAGGTCCTCACATTCTCTGTTCAAACTTGTTGGACAGAGCTCTGGGAGCCATTGCTAGCTCTGGCCCCTGGGACCAGGCCAAAGTCTGTTTCTTCTTGTAGCCTGGAGCTGGAGGGCCAGTCCTGGTGGCCCGCGAGTCCCCAGGGTGCTGCTCAGTAGGGCCGCCACACGGCCTCGTCCATACGGCCCGGCGTGGTCAGGGCCGTGGGCGAGTTGCTGTGGCTGCCATCGGCCTCCACGCCATCAGCCTGACCCAGGCTGGGGTTCATGAGGTTGCCCGCGGACACCGAGGCGCCGCTGGGGCAGGAGGTCAGCATGCGGGTGGGCGAGCGCTCGCCACCGCCCGCAGCCGCCATGGAGAACTGGTAGGAGCCGGAGGAGGCACCGTAGAAGAGGTGGTAGGGCGCGGGGTTGGCCTGAAAGGGCCCGCTCTGGCTCTGAGGGGCCCCGGGATAGGGCGGCGGGAGGTAGGTGTGGTGGAAGCGGCTGCTGGCTGGCATGCCCGCCACGCTCAGGCTGCCCAGGCTGGTGCCCGACGGCGTGGCGCTGTAGGGGAAGGCGGCAGACATGGCGCCCGGGTAGTGCATCCTGGGGTCCGGGAAGCGGCTCTCCGTGAGGCTTTGCAGCGTAGAGAATGAGCGGTCAAACTGGCGTGGGTCCGAGAAGGGGTTCAGGTCTGAGGAGCCTAGGGATAGCAAGAGGGGGTGTCAGGTTCGCAGGCCATGATCACCGTGGGTCCTCTGCCACTGTGGGGTAACCCTCCTGGGGACCCTTTCCTCTGCCTGAGCTGGGCTGTGCAGGACCCTGCTCTGGGACCTCTTGTGAGATCTAGGTGAGTGGAACTCTAGGCCAAAGCAGAGGGGACAAAAGGGGACAGCCCTTCGTCGCCCTATGTGTCCTTCCCAGCCTGCTAGGACATGCACTAGATAGGGCTCCCCACAAGCTCACTCTGGAGAGCTGGCAAGACCAAGCGTGTGAATAGGGTCTCCAGGGCCCAGCAAGACCGGAAGCTGAAAGAGGAGGAAACTGAGGCAGAGATAGAGAAAGGCTGATTGTCCCCCTCATGCACAGAAAGTACTGGAATGCTCCAGAAGGTCTCTTCTCCGTTGGGGCCACTGTGTGTGTGTGTGTGTGTGTGTGTGTGTGTGTGTGTGCGTGCGCGCATGCATGTATGTATGTATGTACGTATGATAAACAGCACCTGCCTGTAAACTGCACAGTCAAGAGGGTCAAGGCATCAGATGATGGTCAGAACAGTTCTCAGCAGGACAGTGAGACAGACATGTCACTTTTGATCTTGGGAGCAGCCATGGGCTAAGTAACAGAGCCTAGGCAGCAGCATTCAAACATCCCCGTGCCCTCTGGAGGGGCACACCTGTAGATTGGGGTCCTGGTTGGGGGAGGTGGGCTCTGCTGGTCCTCATCCCCACTTCCTGAGTCTATGTCTTCTAAGTCTGCCCTGCAGGCTGAAGCTACCTGTTAGTCACACAACTCCACACACGAAACCCTCACCACCTCCGCAGCTAAGAGAAACACTTGCGGGTCCAGACCCCAGGCTGGTTAGTATGCAGTCAGAGCCGGCACAGCAATGCCAGGGGTCTGAATTTCTCAGTGGGCTCTAAGAGGGGATGTGGCAACTGTATACCTACTTCTATAATCACAGGTCCCCGATCCCAGCATTCCCATGGGCTTTGGGAACAAACCTAACGCCACTGGTGGGAAAACAGGGACCCAGCAAGGGAGAGGCATGCGGGTCACACAGCACACTGTTCTGAGCCCCAACACTGCCTGCTGGGCACTGCCTCTTTGTGGAGGCAGCAGGACTTTCCATGGGGCCTCTGGAGCCGTCCACTCTTCCTGGCTTTGATTCTCATTCCCTGTGTGTCCTCTGTCAAATCACTTAATCTCTCCGCGCATCAATTTCCTGGGGACCTGGATCAAATTTGTTAATCCACTTAAAACGCCGAGAACTGAGCCAGGTCTGGCATCCCGTGCTGCTCTCTCTGATCGTGGCGGCCGCCGTCACACCTCTTGCTGTGGGTACCCAGACGTGGCCGGTTTGGGTCCCCAATAAGGTGAAACCCTGACCTGGGGCCTTCCTCATACCCTGACAGGGAACAGTCCCCAGAACCTTGGCCCGCCAAGCCTCAGCCCGTTGTCTCCCCCATCATGAATGGAAGACCAGGGGAGGTCTATCTCTGGGCCAGCAGGATCTGGGTGGGCCCCCTGGCCAAGACCAGCTGTGTCTGGGGATGCAGGCTCAAGGGCTCCTGATTCCTGGGTTCTGCCAAAGGCATTAGGTGACCTCAGGTGTCTGCTACCCCTTGGGTCTCCATGCACCAGCATCTCAGGCTGTGGAGCATCACAACGGGCTGCCCTTGGCTCCAGGTGGGGAGACAGGACAAGGGTCAGGCAGCTGAGGCTTTCTGACATGAAAACCGAGGGCTCTCTGTCTGCTTAGTCTGCCTTGAGGTCTGGGAGGTCGAGGTGCCTGATGCCCATCTACATGCTGGTGTCCCGTGGAGGGGACGTTCTAAGATGAGAGGACACCGGACACTGACGCCCGCTCTCAGGGACCTCACTTCTCCAAGCAGACCGAACAAGACTTGCGATGGGACAGTGGGACCGAGGCCCTGCAGCAGAGGGACTGGGATGTGTGGAGAGGCCACTGACCCCTCCTTCCTCTCTCCTTGTTGCTCCCGCGTCTCCTCCAGAGTGGTGGGGAAGTACCTGCCCTAGGTGCCCCCTCAGATCCTCAGCCTCAGCCTCACAGCCCCAAGAAATCTGAGCTGCCGGGTCCACTGTCAGACAGCCAACCCAGCAGCAGGAGGAAAGGTTCATTTTCTCCAAATTGCCCCAGCTGCTACATGTAGCTGAATGAGCCCTTTGAGCTGTGAGAAGCCCCCATTGTGGGCATCTGCGGCAATCTCCCCCCTTCCCCATCTTGGCACTGCCTGCAGTAACCAAAGCTAGGGGTCAAAGCGATTAACCGGCACCAAGGAAAGTGGTGAGGTATCCTGGGGGGCTTCTGGGACCTAGTCCCACCAGGACGGAGGACCAGAGAGTGTGACTCTTCATATCTGAGCCTGCCAAAGCCACTCTGATGGAGACCTCTTTTTACTTTATGGATGAGCACACTAAGTAAGGCTCAGAGAAGTTAGGTTACTGGCCCAAGATCACACAGCCAATGCACGCGAGCTAGAACTGCCTAGGTGGACCTGATAATGAAGTCCATGCTTCTTTCCTGTGGTGGGTATCCAGGACCCTCTCCTGAACCCCAGAAGGCCAGCTGGAGCTAACATGGGGCTGAGGAGTCCTCTATCAGGATGCAACAAGAGAAGGACTGGCCCTCTATGCCACATTGGCTGGGTGAGGCCCAGGGCTGTTGAGAGGCTGAGTCTGGCTCCAGGGAGCATGGAGTCCAAAGACCATACCCTCTCCCTGTGGCAGGGCAGCCATGTGCTCTTCCCTCACAGGAACTGGTGCACAGGAAGTACTGTCCAGTACTATTGACTCGAGGTGTTCCTGGCTGGACTCCATCCATCTCTTCCAGGCCAGACTCTGTAGGAGCTGGCCTGTGGAGCTGGGGCAAGGACAAACTCCTGGACAGGGCTGGGCATGGGGTAGAGGCAGGGCACTTACTGAGGCCAGAAATGAACCTCAAAGGCCCAGGGCTCAAAAGCTGAATCTCAAAATCACAAGCCCATGGGTTTAGGCAAGCTGGGCGTAAGGCCTTTCCTTACCTTGAGCCAGCTTCCTGGCTCACCAAGGGATGATGCCACGCCCCTGATACTGTCTCATGCCTAGGACACATGGTTAATGTCCTCATGGAAAGACCAATGTGGAGAAGGACATAAGGTAAGGAGGGCAGAGATGAGCCAGCACACAGCCCACTCTGGCCCTCATGGCCAGTCCCTTCTCAGGCCTCTAACCTAGGGACAGGCCAAGGGAGACACTGAACTTGGTCACCAGATGGCTACATGGCCCAAGGGTGGCACAACCCTCTTCAGTTTCAATTCACTCATCTGCCACATTGCCCCTGAGCCAACGCTGGTGAGCTGAAGGGACAGGTACTGCACAGGGCAGCAGCCAGCTCTCAGGCCTCGGTGGCTTGGACTAACAGAACTCAGGGAGATCTGCTTGCGGCCTAGCCTCCTCAGCGAGGCCGTGGGGACAGAGCCCAGTCCTAGAGTTCTCTATTCGTGCGACCATGGGTGGAGAGACCGGATGAGGAGGTGCTGGCACCCCATGCCACAGTTTCAGGTGTGAATAGCACCCGGTGCCAGGAAGGGATATCTCCAACCTGCTGGGTGGTGGTGGTGGCGCACACCTTTAATCTCAGCACTCGGGAGGCAGAGGCAGACGGATCCCTCTGAGTTCGAGGCCAGCCTGGTCTACAGAGGTAGTTCTGGATAGCCAGGGCTATACAAAGAAGCCCTGTCTCAAGGGAAGAAGGAAATGAGATATCCCCATGGTATCTCCCCTCACCACGAGAAGGCTGAGGTAGTGGGAGTATGCGCAAAGTGGGGACCCGGTGGCTATGGCTCTATGCCCACCACGGGATTACCCTCATGTCTCTAGGGAATAGTAAGTTTCAGAGGGAGGAATGGTCACCACATCTCATGCTCATCCCAGGGCCAGGCACCTGGTCGTGCAAACTGCAAACTGCCCCAGCTGTCCACCGAGATCTTCCCCAAGGACTTCACATCCTGGCTCCCTTTCCACAGCCCGGCCTGATCCCCACAGAGCTTTGCTGTTCTGTACCTTGGATTGGGGTCTGGGCTTGACTGCTGAAATGGCTCGTGGTGCTGAGCGAGCTCCGGGGGCTGGGGGTGCTGGGCGTTACACGCATGCGCAGGTCTCCGAAGCGGTCGGGGAAGGCCTTGGTCTGATCTTCTATCTTCTGCCGGTGCCCTGTGGAGCACGGGGAGCCCATTAGCCACTGCAATGCCTTGCCCTGTTGGGAACTTCTCCCTGGAGTCTAATTTGGGCCTCCGTGGAACTCTCTGATTTTTCTGAACAAAACAGAGATTGTGGCTACGTGCCTCCTCAGGCTGTCTGATCTCGCCTCAGAATGGTTATTTTTACATTACCCGGGAGCTCTGACTGGGACAGCAGGCTGTGGTGGTAAGCTATGAACCACCTAAACCTCCCCAGCATGGTCTGACAGAAAAGGATACCGAGGCAGCAACAGGCCTAGAAGAATTACTTGGGCAGGTGTTGCCAAGGAGTCAGGAGGAGGTGTGATACTCCCCTCATCCCGACCATGCAGATCCCAATATGCTACATCATGAAAAGTTTGCCTGAATCTTTGGGTCTGGACTGACACGGACTTTTCTTGATTGACATAAAGCTGAGTGGGACGAGAGGGTCTTTCACTGTTCTACCTGAGGCTGGACAAGTGAGTCCAGGGCTTTGGCAATGACCGCTGACCCCTGCTGGGACGAGGGACCTGAGGAGGCTGTGAAAAGAACCCGATTCCTGACTTTGAAAGTGAAGCATAAAGATGCTAGGCCTCATGGATCTCAGCGCTCCCACCCATGCCTGCCCCAGGTCCAAGTGGACTCGGGAGAGCCCAGGAACGAGCAGGGGGTCCAGGAAGGCAGGCCGCTATAGCCAGGGAACCCTGCTGTCCTCTCATAAGACACCAGCTGAGGCCAGCGGGATGGTGGGCAGCAGCTGTCGCAACCCCACGGCTCTAGGAAAGGAAGAGGAGAGCGTGCTCTGAGGCACCTGGAGCGGGTGCTGCAGACTCCGGTGCCTGGGGACCTGGAGGTCGGGCAAGCCTGTGATGAGACAGGTGGGTGGCTGCGGACTGGACCGAAAGCTTCTGCCTCACTGAGGATGACTGACTGGCATCATGGTGCCACCGTGTGGTTTCTGGCTCAGTAGAAGTGCCAGAACCCAGCTCTGAGGCTACTGGCGATGGCAGGGATGTGTGGATGAGCTGGGGACAATAAATTCCAAGACATCTCAACAGGCAGGAAGCCCACCGGATAGATGGGAGGTTGTGGGTTGGCTGGATGGCAGCTTGGGTGCGAGGAAATGGGTGTCTCAGTCAACCGCAAGCTCCAAGGCAGCCAGTGGGGCCAAACAAATGCTGGTGTAAAACCTCAGGCCTGCCATTGTCGTCACTGGTGAGCAAAGGACCTGGTTCTGAGTCACAGTGAACTGTGTGTTTGTAACTGCTCCTGTGACCAGCGGAAGGAGAGGGGGCTTGGGGACAGTCTGGGTTCAAGGACGGACCTAAACAGGTGCAACATGGGTCTCACCCATCACACCTCCCTCCCCTTGGGCTACAGTGTCGTTATCACAGTGACCACAGGGAAGGCCGATGGCACAGCAGGACACCGAGGCCAGGGTGATGACCAGAAGACAGCCCAGATCCCTAACTCAAGACCCCTTGTTCCTTCTCTGCTGTTTCCCCTTGGAGCTCCCATGGGTCAGTGGGGACACTGGAAGACAGGATGGCACAGGACTGCTTCCTGTGGCTGTGCAGGACTAGAGGCAGACACTGCCAGGGAAGAGGCAGACACTGCCAGGGAAGAGGCAGAGGGGAGCCTGGTGACCCCACGTGGCTAGGGCGCCAGAAAGTCTCAGAGCCCGGAGGCTGAGGCCCTCATGCTGGGAACAGAACTGAAAGGAAGTGCCTGGCCTGTGCCCGGGGAGGAGGACCACAGAAAAACCCTTTTATTCCTTTTCCCACAGTGAGAGCAGGGAGCTGTCTGGTTCCCTCAGTCACTTGGGTCTTGCCCTTCTGTGCCTCAGTCACTGTCTTCCCCCACACCCACTGCACAGCCTGTTCACCTAAGTCCCCTCCTTTGCAGAGTTACTAACTTAAAACCACAAGAAGTTAGCATTGGTCATATTGGCCTCAAGTTGCCAGTAGAAAGAGAGGCACCCCTGAACAGCTCTGGCCTCCTGCTGCTACTGGCTTGTCCTCTCTCAAACCCTCTGCCCTGAGAGCATGACAGCCTCTACCGGAAAGGCTCCCTATCCTTTGGGTCCAGCCTAAGAGCCCTGTGAACAGCCCCGTAACAGCTAAGAGCAGAAGAAATTGGAGCCTGTTGGGCCCAGGGAGCTTTCTCTGCAGCAGGCTTAGGAGGCACACCAGCCGCTGGCCTGTGTGGCCTCATCAGGGAGAACCGCCATGCCCCCACTGTACAGGTGGGAAAGGGCGAGGCTGGGAGGAGCCACTGACAGGCTGACAACTCACAGGAGACAACTGGTCACCTCTTATCCCCAGAGCCCATCTCCGGAAGGGGCAAGGCTGTGAAGCTCAGGGTGTGACATGGTGTTAGGGCCCAGCCCCGACTGCACTTTGTGGGGGGGGACATGAGCAGAGGGACACGACAGGCGTCTTGGTTACTTTTCTGTTTCTGAGATAAAACACTATGACCAAAAGCATCTTGGGAAGGAAAGGGTTTCCGTCATCTTCCATCACTGAGGAACAAGCCAGGAAGCAGCGCTCCTCGGCCACCTCTGAGTCTGCTCCTGCTTTCAGGTTCCTGCGTTGAATTCCTGCCCTGACTTCCCTCAGTGAGGGAGTGTGACCGGGAACTGGAAGATGAAGTCACTCGTAACCCCTTGCTTGTGGCTGGGATGTTACATTACAGCAACAAAAATCCTAACTAGGACTCAGGGTCTCAGTGGAGCCCTGACGGGTTCTGCCTTGCTTTGAAACTCAGGGTTGAGTGCCAATCACACAGCTACCGCAGCCCAAGTTGCTTTCCTCTGGGCCTCAGTTTCCGTATCTGTAGAGTGGCTGTCACCCTCCCCCGGGGTGGGTAGATCTGCCTGGTGAAAGTAGAGTCCCTCATGGGGAGGAGGGCACTGGGGAAGGACCCTTGACTTGTGGGTCTGGCTTGCACTGCCTGCCAGCCTCCTGCTGGGGGTCTTCGATCACAGATCTCAGCTAGCCCAACCCAGGGCCAGTAGCCCCAGGCCCACTGTAGGCAGCCATCATCCGATGGTGGCTCCTGGAAAGTTTGCTGATGTTGGGCCTCCATGGTTTCTTCTGTAAAATGGGGGGAAAAGCTTAGAGCCTCCCCTACACTCTTGGGGGAAGTAGGGTCTGAATACACAGCCCACAGACTCCGATCTTCAGGGGAGGTGTCAGTCCCCCGCTTTGACCTGACTCCCACTCCTGGGTCACCAACTCCCATGCTACAGAGCCAAGCCATTATCCAACCTCACAGGCAGGTGACCCAGATCAAAGCCCCTGGACTGGGAGACTCCCCAGGGACACACTATGTAGTCCAGCTGGGACTCCCTTACTGTCCCCCAACCAGGCCAGCATGGGTTCCTCCACCTGCCAGACTCCTGGTGCATCCGCCAGGGTTAGCCCCAGCCTTCAGCTGGCAGGGCAAGAGGCTGGGGTTCCTATGCCTGGTGCACCACACATACAACTTCAAGGCCACAGCTCTCTGGTAGGCTCCCTTGCTCCCACCCCCACCCCCAGCTTCACAGTGGAAAAGGAGAAGGCACCAGGCCAAGGTCACAAGGTGATAGAAAACCTGGAATGAGCTGCCTAGCCCACAGAGTTCCTCTGACAGAGGAGAGCGGGGCTCTGGCTGGCAGGAGGCCAACTCCATGTCTGGCCTCAGTGAGGCAGGAGGTAGGATGCTGGGAGAGGCAAAGTCGGGCAGGGCCCCGGGAACAAGGTGAGCTCAGCCGCCAGGCCCTGCGCTGGCTCAGCGCTTCCTAACAGCCGCTCTGCAGCCTGCTACTCCCCAACCCACACACAGCAGCCACTGTGCGCCTGCTGCGGAGCTTGCTCTGCGGCCTGTGGGGAGATTTACACCGGACTCGGATCAGCCGCTGGGATGGCAGGCGGGTGCCGGACCTGGGGTGGTCTGCTGTGAATTGGCCCCCTGTGAGCAGATGAAAACCAGTGGTGGCGGGGCAGGGAAGCCGCCTGGCGGAGGGCCAGTGGCAGGGAGGTAGCTCCCGCCCAGGGCTGCAACTGGGGCTTCCAGGCCTGGGCCTGATTAGGGGAGCTGGGAGGTCTGAGGTTAACCCTTTCTCTTCTGCTGGGCAGGTTCTTAAGGATCTGCCAGACTTTAGTGGGTGTTCCCAGGCTCTGGGGAGCCGGAGGTACTGAATGACCAGGTGTGGTTCTCTAGACCTTTCAGCTTCCCCGCACCTGAAGCCCAGGGTGACACCACGCGTCAGTCTTCTCCAAAGCCCACGTCTGACACTGCGTCATTTTCCCTGCCCATACCAGGTCCTAAGAGGCCACACTACTATTAGTCCACTTCCTTCAGGACTGAACCTCACCAGGAGACCCCCAACACCTGCCTCCTGCAACTGCCCACCCTCTGCCTACTCCAGCCTCCTCCCAGCTTTGCTGGAAATGAACACCTACTTACTTAGCTTATTCCTGAATGGTTGTGTGGGCATCCTCAGGGCCAGGGGCAAGTGATTGACAAGCACAAGAAAAGAAGCCTGGCACAGTGGAACGTGCAGACCAGTGTGCAGGCACAACTCTGGCATGGAAGCAGCTGTGCAAAGGCCCCGAGGCAGGACTGCACCTGGGAGACCAGCAGCTGGAGTGGCGTGAGTTGGGGAAGAGAGGGCAGGAGAGGAAGGCAGAGTCTCCACCAGATTTGGCCATGGTCACTGTAAAACCTGCTTCCCCTTCTCTCCTCTGGAATGTGAGGCCCAGGAGGGTGGGAACCAGAAGGTGGGGTTCAGGGTGGTGTCCCCTGCACATGGAACAGTGCTGGAGGGATGCCAGGTGCCCGGGAAACTATTTGTGGGAATTGCTTTGTGTGCATTTAGGGGAAGAGACACTTCCAGGCCATGCCCTCAGCTTCTGGGAGGTGAGAAAGCTGGGTCCCACACTGTAGGTACCAGCACCTGCTGAGCCTGGCAGAGGAGGCTAGTTGTTCCCAAACTGTGGTCACCACCAGTGTGGTCAGGCCCTGCATCACCTCCCATCCTGATGTTGAATCCAGTTCAGCAACCTGCATTTGAACCAGTCCCCAGCGACTGGGAGGGATGCATCAGAAACCCGAGGCCACACAGGCAGGAAGCCACTGAGCCAGCCTCAGCCCCAGCTGGCCACCCGGCTGCAGGCTGGGCACGCTCTGCAAGGCACCAGAGGGGAACGACCTGGCCACAGAAACCACAGCTGGGCCTCAGGGATGCAGACTCCTGGATTCGGGGCCAGCCCCACCTACCCACAGAGGCTCTGACCTCACGGGGGTCCCAGAGCCAGCTGACCAGGGGGAAAGTACAGAAATCTAAGAGCCAGGAGGCTGGTCAGATCTCAGAGGGTTGTGACATTTCCTGTGGGTCAACACTGAAAAGTCAGGAACTGCAAAATCCCTCTAAATCCCACTCAACCTGGGCCTCCTGGGCCTCCAGGAGACCCACTTGGAGTCTGGAGATGCTATGGTCACCTCAGGCAGTGGTGCTACCTCCCCATGGTGAGGGATGTTGCAGAGGGTTGGCTCATGCAAAGACTGCAGGGGGCTGTGAGAGAGGATCACTTGGTGGCCAGCAGCTGTGTGTGTTTGGGGGCGGGGCGTCTTCACTCTCCTACATAGGGAAACTGAGTCCAACAAAGAGGAAGGATAAACATATTGAGACTAGAGGCTAGGTATTGCAGTCCTGATTTCTGGGTCAGGTCGGCCATGGGCAGGAGTAAGTATGTCCCAAGGATGGGGTATCCTGGTGAAAGGCCACTCCCCTCTGCTCTGTGGCAAAAGGAGCTATTAAGCAGGCCCAGAGAGGGATAATATGTGTTCAAGGGCACACGGCAATCCCAGCCTCTGACCCCAGCTACCTCTTCCTGTTTTGTCCCCCTCCCAGCCACCTTATTACAGAAAGGGCCAGCTAAGGTGTGGGGTTGAGGAACCAGGAGAAGGTAGGCAGGGGACTCATAGGACCCCCTGGGCAGGCTGAGCCACATCCTCATCCACAGGCCTCAGGAAGCACTGGGCTAGCAGATGAACAGAGGGGACGCTGGGGACACTTGGGACCTCTCCATCCTGCCCCTAACTAACTCCCAGACCCACTGGTGGCCCTAAGTGCTGCGTCTTCATGCTGAGCCCACTCTGGGGAGATGGCCCCTTTAATGGGGCTCCAGCAGCTACCCTGCTACCCTGCTGCTCCTGAGGGAGGAGGGCTATCTGCTGATGGCGCTGATGGTAGGAGTACAGGGGAAGAACCAGACATGGGGGCCCATGAAGCCTTTCTATCCTCCAAAGCCCTCCGCTATGTACACACCACCACTGAGCTGCAGGCTCGCGGGGAGGGGGAGTGTAGATCAGCACCCTTAACAGAGAAGGTGCTCAGTGCCTGTCTCCTGGCCATAGAGTCGCCTGCTTGTGCAAACCCATTCTTCAGACAAGAAAAATGAGCCTGGAAGTGGCCTGTCTAAGACCTACAGTTAAGGACATGGAGGAGGTGACCCTGAGGCAAAGAGACTTCCCGAAGGCCAAAGGTCCATTTCTGGGCCCCTCCCAAGAGCTACCTGAGGGAAGTCAAGCTTGCCTCCAAGGCTTGACCGGCACTCACCAGTGTGAATGCAAGCCACACTCTTTTGAGTCTCCTGGGCCCTAAGCAGAGGTCCCAGGGCCTGCTCTCCTGTTACAAGCCCTACCAGCCTGAGGTGAAGCCTGAGGCAGGAGCAGAACCCCCCTGGCATAGGTCAAGGTCCCCACGAACACCCAGCCATCAGGCCTGGGCCATCACCTCCCTGGCACAGGGACACCCTTTGTCTCAGGTGTCATGAGGAGACCCTGAAGAAACTGCAAATTCCACCTCCCGCTGCAGACACTACTCTGATGGACCGAGATGCCCTGGATGCAGTCGGGGCTCAGTATATACTGCAAACTCCAAGTGCACTCCTTTTCTCGTCTCTGTGGATCCCGGGCTCAGTGTGGCTGGACCCTGAAGATCCAGTGGTTTCAGAAGCCGGGTGGCTTCATGGCACAAGGGAGCAGCTTTAGTCTGGGAGGCTGTTACCCTATATTTCTCATCAGTGCAGAGTCAACTAAGACATAGAGAAAACTGGCCTAATCCCCGCCCTAAATGCACCCCCATGGTTCCATCCCTCTTCCAGGCCATCCTTAGAGAGCTCTGCTCTCTTGGCCTCCTTGCTGACCCTTCAGAGCCTGGGCTGAGCCAGTTAAAGACAGCTCTGAGCGAGACACAAAGTTATAGTCCAACCTCTGCCACCCTTCCCCCTGGACTCTTTGCCCTGGCCAGGGCTCCGTGGCACTTACGTCGGGGCTCTCGGGGTCCATCCACGGTGACCTTGATGGCTCGGTGGTAGGTGGCCACTTGGGTAGGGTTGGTGAACACGGTGATTGTGAGCGTGAAACTTTTCCCTGGGGAAATCAAGGCAGGAGTTTGATGCCAGACACGTTCACTGCCCCCCAGTCTCCCACCTGCATTCTGCTGCCACAGTCCCTGACTTTAAACACAAAGAGAGGGAAGGGGGAGTTTCGCTCAAGCTGCTGGGCTCGGCATTCCAGGCCTCAGGAGGCATGCCTCCCCCCCCCCCCCCCACCACCACACACCATGTCCTACCACACACTGCCCTCCTGGCTTCTCTCCCTTCTGTGTGACTATATTTTTGTGATAATCTTTCTGTTTAGGGACTCATACCATTTTGAGGTAAAGATCACAAATGGGTGTGTGTGTTTTCCTGAAAATAATTAGTGATCTTTATAGAAAAAAATGAGAACACAAAACATATTTGAAAGAGAAGAAACCCCGCCCCCAGTTCCACTAGCGGAGATAACCGCCAGCATCATTTGGGGTTTTCTCTTCCACCCCCTGGGTGTGGGCACGCATATTTACACAGTTGCTGTGGCACTAAAATCGATAGCTTTTTTTTTCCCGTTTTATCTTTTGTTTGTTTTGAGACAGGGTTTCTTTATGTAACTCTGGCTGTCTTGGAACTTGATGTGTAGACCAGGCTGGCCTCTAACTCACAAAGATCCTCCTGCATCTGCCTCCCAAGTACTGTACTGGGACCTATCTTTTTTTTTTTCAATTAAAAATTATTTATTTTATTTGTCTGAGTGTTCTGCCTGCATCTATGTATGTATGTATGTATGTATATATGTATGTATGTATATGCACCCTGTGTGTGACCTGGCCCCCACAGAGGCCAGAACAGGGTTTCAGATCCCTGGGAAACATATTTACAGACTGTCGTGAACCATCATGTAGGTGCTGGGAATTGAACCCAGGTCCTCTGCAAGACCAGCCAGTGCTCTAACCGCTGAGCAACCTCTCTAGTCCTGTCTTGTTTTCTTTCCCCGCGACAGCATTACAAGTTCTCCATAAAATGGCTGCTAACTATTCCCCTGGTGGAAGTCTCCGTTTTGATTGGTTCACCTCCTGATGTCGTTGATTATTTCTTGCTGCTGTGTGCAGCCAGAGCTCCAGGAGGACCGACCTGAGAGCTGTAGACATGACTGTTATTTCCAGAACCCTGTTCTATTTTTAGATAGACGTTTGGCTCCAACGTCTCCATTCAAAATTCCTGAGAGGGGAAAAATCTTTTAAAATAATACTTTTTTTTCTTTCTTTTTTAAAAATCTTTACCATTTAAAATAAAATGGAAGTGACCTTCCATGTGTCAAAATCTCTGTCTGCATCTCTGCCTTCCTCCCAGAGAGTCTCAAGAAATGTCGAGCGAATAGGCCACTTCAGGGGATGAGTTGTGAGGACCAATCTTGGCTCTCTGGGGACACATACCTCATCATGAGCGATGTGAGGCCATACGTCACCCGAGTGCCACTGGCTCGTGTCTATCGTGAGGAAGATCTCGAATTGCTCTTGATTTTGTTTGCCTTTCTTTCCTTTATTACTGAGACTGAAACTTTGTGTCTGGCCACTATCCATCACCAGAATCTGGCACACATCACCACCTCCTAGTCTTGATACTTTCCCATTGGGGCTTGAGGACCTTTGACAGTCTCTCCATCTGACGCTTGTCCATAGCTCTGGGCTGTCTGGGTGAAGGCCACCACACTCCGATTTCTAAATTCAGCCCTTTCTCACCCTGCCTTCTCTTTCTCGGTGTTAGACAGGTCTTCCCAGGCAGGGAACAGATGAAGGTGTATTTGCAAGGTATTCTGCCGCGAAGGCTCTGTCTGGCCCACCGCAAGGTCTAAGGTGAGGGGATGTCAAAGGGCAAGCCTATTTTTTCTTTTTAAAGCAACTTAGTCATTCTGTCACTTTGTATGCTGAGCTGTGTCCAAAGCTTTGTTGTGCCTTGCGTGTCTCGCCAAGGACTAGGCCAGCACCGTTACGGTTTAAGATGAGACTGGGCTGAAGGGGGGAACTCCACAGATACCCAAGCCCGACTTCCCCTTGACCTGCTTTGCTTCTCTGGATCTAACTGTCAACCCGAGTTAGAAGCTCGGGAACTCCCCGTGGGCAGCCCAAGTCCAAGCATTTGTGCTTCTTTGGAGTGGCCCCCCAGTGGCCCCAGCAGCCTGCTGGAGACAGGTCTCGCTAATGGTGCCCCAAGGAGTGGGTTAGTTTCCACAGCCCTGCTGTGCAAGAGGGCAGAAGCCATCTTAATGTTCTCTTTGCTCAAGGGAAAATTCTAGCCCCGGAAACAGGAGACGTCTGAGCACGGCTAAGGCAGGCAGGCGGGCCAGCTGAGCCTCGGAACCCAAGGGCTTCTGGGATTCGGGAGAATGCAGTTGGAGCACCCTGGGAAATAGCTCCCTCACTGAAGAGGGTCTCCAGGCGGGCAGCAGAGGTCAGAATGGATCCATCCTTGGACATTTGATTAGGAAAGCCAGCTTGGCTCTCACCCTCAGACCAGAGCCCATTTGCTTCATTTCTGGAAAGAGAAACTGCAGTCTAGGGAAACACAGGGCAGGTGGCCGCAGATTCTTTTCCACTTGCCTTGGGGACACTCCTCTCTCTGCCATTTCTCTCCTATACTCCTCCTCCCAATCAAGGGGGCACTAAGGGGAAGCAGGTCTGGCTCTTTGACCTCATTGCTTCTGGGGTCACAGTGAAGGTGGGGTGGGCTGATACCTGGAGCCCTAGCTGCCAGGACTCCTGACTCAGAGGATTAAATCTGTATTGGAGAGTCACCTTCTCAACGAGGGCTTTCCCTCGCCACTTTATTTAAAGCTGACATTTCAGAGGCCATGGGGTGTGACTCCGTGGTAGAAGGTTTGTCTAGAATGCTTCAGGCCCTGAGTTCCATCCCCAGGGCCCAAAACCCCAAACAAACAAAGTGGACATTTTCAGTTTGGCCTCTGTGGTTGACCCTTCTTAGCATAGATCGGGCCAGGGATCTGGGATAGAAAAATTTGCAATAGTATTGTCCCCAACCCCTAACTGGAAGAGCCTCTCTCAAGCCAGAGCGCAAGCCACAAGCCACACAAGTTTAATGAGCGGTACCTTGACCTTGCTACCAACAAGCTACACAGACATTCAGAGATCACGCGACAGTCCTTACAGATTTTTCCGAACACCTGCCCCCCGCCGCCCAATGCTCATCATAAAGTCAGTATTATGGTCAGCATCAGACCCGTGCCTAGAACTCACTATGAAATCTGTTCCACAGAGTGGCAACATACCACAAACCCCCTCCCCAGCAGCCATTCCCCTCTGTAGCCCCATGCACCTCCTGCCCTGAAACCCTTGCAAAGTTCCCTTCAGAATCCATGTTCGAGCTGACCACCTCTCCCTCTCCATAATGCTAAATTCACGGGAGCCAGAGGTGTTCCGCTATTGCCCCCAGTCCCCAGCATGCCACCAGGTGTGTGGTAGAGAATGCATTAACTATTTTAAATGCAGCAGTTTCCCCGATGCAAAGACTGCGGATCACAGAGGGGCCATGCTCGGTCAGCTCACACAGTATCCAGGCAGGACCCAGAATCTGCTGCAGTTGCTCCCTGCCCCCAGCCCCGCAAACACCCACCACTCCCCTCCCATCCTGCCCCCAGGGAGCAAACCACATGCCACCCCTGAGGTCACCAACAGACCTCAACAGTTAGTTCCTTGCCTTCTCAGCTACCCACAGAGAGGAAAGGGAATCAGGACATCGGGGTTGGGGTCTAGGAGCCTGAGAAACCTTGAGAAGCATGGGTGGGTGGGGCCAACTGCCCCCAGTACCCAATTCTCCCCCTGGTGGTGCACGGTGTGAGCATCTCTCTTTCGGAACAGGAAGCTGAGAGGAAGATGGAGGAGGTGGGTGGCAGTACAGGAGCCCAGTAACCATGCAATGGGGCCAGGCCACAAGGCCAGGAGTTGCAGTCCAGGAACTGGAGAGCTGGCCCTAGCTGGAGAGCAGAAGGCTGGGCTGTTCCGGGTGCATGAAACACACGTCGCTTTCTGCAGTCCTCACAATCAGCTATCGCAAGAGGGTCAGGAAGCACGAGTGGGACAAGCCCCGCCCATAGGAGCTGCCTGGACTCTGGGGACCGCGCCTCAGCTCTGCAGCCTCTCAGCTTCTGCGAGACACCTGACCTTGTCTACTGGTCCCATCAGCCTGCACCTGCGGCTCCTCATACCCAGGCTGCTTCTTAGCCAGTCAATGACAGATCCCTAGGCCAGTGGTTACTTTGCCTCCTAGAAGACAAGCTGGGGACTGGCCATGGCGATGGGCTAATAGGGCACCAGTCCTAGAGGTGGGCGCCTGCGCGCTAGAGTTCATGCACACGTGGACTGGTGTGTGTGTGTGTGTGTGTGTGTGTGAGCACACACAAGCCCAGTACTGTACAGGGCCACAAAGAATTAATTTTTCCTAAGAAGGAAAAAATGTGCTAAAAAAACAAAAAACAAAAAAACTACTCCCTGAGCCATGAACCTACGTCAGTTTTACCTAAATTAAAGCAAATTCGGGGATTCTTTTAATAACTACTGGATTTTTCAGAGGATGGGGTCTTGTTTTGTTTTTAGCTGGGGACCGTGGATGGGGCTCAGTGTAAGATCACTGAGCTAGCACGAGTTAGAGTCAGGCTTTGATACCTAGCAAACACAAAACAACCCCCCCCCCCCCGCAAAAGCAAAACCAAACAAAACACTGTTCAGAGAATTTTCCCATCTACCGCAAGTCCTGGCACAGACCGACAGCTAGGCCACGGTCACGCTTTGAGTCCTGTCACCCCGACGTCAGGGGCTTCTTTGAAGGACGCCCTGCCCATGTTTAAGGGGCGTGGTCTCACGGGGTATTTACATATTCAAATCTGTATCTGCCGCGAATGATTTTTATTTTCTTTTCCTCTCAGTTGTGGAGCGACAGAGGCTGTCCCTGGACTGAACGGCCCCTGAAGGAAGCTAAAGTGCAGATTACAAAGCATTTAGGGCAAGGAGGGAGGGCTGCAGCTGGAGAGGGGGGCTGCCTGGCTTGCTCGCCGCCGCAGTTTGGTTCACACCTGCAGCCCGGTGAGAGGGCCAGGGGGCCGATGCATGCAGGGTGCTAGTGCTAGCCTGGCTTTTACGGAAAGTGACCTTTCTGGGATTCAGACAAAATCAGGAATTAAAAAAAAAAACACCAAAATGCACAGAAATTTTTATCTAGGATTCTTAGTTCTGGCAGACATCAAAGGATGAGGGAAAACTCTTGGGTTGTCTCTCCTGGCCCAAAGTGGCCCAGGTTCTCCGTGTCAGAGGAATGTTCTCAAGAGGGAATTTCCCAGCTGTTGGGACAGGCATGACAGAGGCGTGGCCACCTGCACCCTGGACCTCAACACAGCCCTCCTCACATCAGCGCCTCCATCTCTCCCACTCAACAGTGCACACCTTCTGGGTTTCCCCCACCCCCGGCCAAACCACACTGCAATCAGAGAATCAGAGAGTGTGGCAGTGCTCAAAGGGACCTCAAAGGCTCTCCCAGTGCCAACCATCTAAAGAACAAAATCTCTACCGTGTACCCAACTCTCAGGACCTGAGAACTCCTTCATCCACCCCATATCTCATTAAAATGGGCCATCATCACCCACCCATTTCACAGATAAAGAAACGGAGGCACAGAGAGGTTAGGTCAATTCCCTAATGCTATCCAGGAAGTCCTTTGCTGGTTTGGAACTCAGGCTGGAAGAGCAGGAGCCAAGAGCACTCGGTCCAGAGTTCCACTGGCATTGGGATGTCTATGGGGCTTCCTCCTCCCTTCTCGGAACCACTGGGGCTGGCAAGGAGACGTTGAGCTTCTATCCCAGACCCAGCCTCCAAAGGTCCCAGATCATGCAAGTCAGTGGCACCCTAGAAACATCTCTCTCCCCGAGGGGCCTTCGGGGTCTGTGGGTGGCAAGATTCACTAAGAAATCTTCCGTGGGCTAGGTGTGGCAGCACACCCCTGCAATCCTAGCACCCAGGAGGCCGAGGCAGTGCTGAAAACCTGCCGTTAATCTGGACTCCGTAACAGGTTCCAGGGCAGCCTATAGTGCCGCAAGACTGTTTCAAAATGAGGCAAAAATACGTCTTAGTAGGTAGAGAGGCCATCGTACATCAGAGAAGCATCACCCTTTAATTTTCCTGTCACTTCCCCGGAGAGGGAGCAGAATGATGGCAGAGGGGAGCCCAGAGTGCTTAGTGCCTTGTGGGGCTCCCAGAATGCTTCGCTTTCTACCAACTTGTCTAGGGACAGGCGCTCTAATGTGCCCCCTCACCTGGGCCCTGTACCAGAGACGGTCCACTCAGGCAGGGACAGGGCTCCGATTAAGTTGCAAAGGGTTCAGGGACTGGGGATGACAAAAGGGGCTTGGGGACTAATTAGGAGCAGCAACGAGAGCTTAATTCATAAAAGCAAACATTTTCCATCCATCAACCTGCAGCCAGTTAAGGGCTACGTTTGAAAGAAATCTGTGCATGGGGAAGGGAGCCAACAGGAACAGGAAATGTTCAAAAGAATGTAAACTATTTCAGTTTCATAAAAAGTAACAAGTAAACAGTTATTACATGCAAATAACGCTCTGGTTTTAATTAATGCTGAAAAGTCAAAAAATATGTTTGACATTTGTATGTATATACCGCACGGCTGCAGCGGGCAAAATGGTGCCCAGATGCCCAGTGGGAGCAGGCTGCCGGCTCCCAGGGAACGCCAACCTTGAGAAGGTCTTGTTTATTGGTGTTGAAAAGTACCATTTTGCCCCAGCCTTGGCAGCTGGGAGCCAGCTCACTTCCTAACCCTGGAGGGCTCACAGAGCTTCAGAGGAAGGTGACTGCCTAGCCACTTCAAGGCTCAGCCACTTCTCAGCAGCCTTAAAGCCGCAGATCCTCCTATCCTCAGGGCATGGGAACTAGAAGGGCTCCTCCACCCCAGAGTTACATGATGACGGGTTTCGGGTCCCAGCGCCTCCCACTCAACAGCCCCTGGCGGCAGCCACTGTGGCGTCTGGTCCTGCCTTCTTGCCACTACCGGGGTGGGTCAGACTGACAGGGCAGCCACCAGCGTGATCCCGGAGCTGGAATGATAGCCTCCAAACTTCTCTTTCCAACATTCACCGTTCCAATCTGAATTTTCCTTGAGGAATCCCAGAGCTCTCCAGAGACCACGGGGACTCTTGCCCCTGAGGCGAGTGACTGGGGTGCCTAGGCCCCAACCAAAAGACACCCACACCCTGTTTGAACTTGTGCTCATAGGGCCTTCTTCCAGCATCTTTTGGGAGGTCAGGGGTGCTAATGGGATAAGGCAGCAGCGCTAGAGGCTTTTAGGAGTTGCTAAACCCTGGAACCTGGGAGAAAACTACTAGTAAGAGACCATACACATAGCCACATAAAAGGGCTAACCTGACAGCACTGGGCTTGCAGATCTACGTCCATCCTCCGACCGACCGGGGCTCTTGCTGAGACCCAGCTGCCTCCCTCAATTCCAGTCCCTACCTTTGTCATCCCAGGGTCCCTCCAGCTCACCTCGCCCGCTCCGGCCCACGAAGCGAAGGTCGTTGAACCTGGCCACTTGGTTCTTCATGACAGCGGAAGCATTGCGTAGCTCAGCGGAGTAATTCTCATCATTGCCGGCCATCACTGTCACCACCGTCCCATCAGGCACGTCCCCCAGTGCCACCACCTGAGGAAATCGGCAGGAAAGAGGACAGCTGAGAAAGGCCAAGAGGAGGAGTGCACCCAGCAGCTCCCCTAGGTCCGGGGCTCACGGAAGCTTTCTCGGAGGCTGCCGTTAGAACAGGCCAAAATGGTGTACACCCTTCTCCTATATGGATGAATTTTCTACCCTCCCTACCTAAATGAGCCCCAAGAAACCATCCCTTTACTATTATTATTATTAAATTTAGTCTAAGCTAGAGCTGTCAATCAGCAAGGTCACTGCTAAGGGCGGGGCGCTAAAGAAGACTAGAGCTCCTAGCAAAAGAATCAGCAATGATAACAACGGGGGTACTCCTTGCTCTCGGTTAATGCATCGCCCTTTGGGGTACGAAATTTGGCCCGGCCATGTGACCAAGGCGTAGTTAAATAGCCTCAGTGGAGTCTGGATTCGTTATGTAGAGAAAATGCAAAATGCGATCCAGAAAACCCCCGTTTTGATGGCTTCCCGGGTACCTGCTGGGAACTGCTGGATGGGTGGGTGTAGCTGCCCCTCCTCCCCACCCAAGGCACACCAAGAGGCAGATGCCTTTTGAACCAGACTTTAAACAGAGTCACAGCCATTTAAACGTGGCTGCCGTGTGCAGGGGCTGGGGATCCAGATGGTAAAGATTTCAAGGAGAAAATGTTTGGGGTCTGATTAAAAAGGCCAGATTTCCTGTCAACATCCTGTCTTCTTTTAATTTCAAAGATTCCTTTTAAGCTCCAAGTGACAGTAAAACCTCCGATCTGACGATTACAGTCACACGGGCCTCCTCCCGCTCCTCCCCCTCCTCCTCGGGAGATTTCCCCCACTGGTATTTTAAGATGTCACCCGGGAGACCTCAAAGAGATCTCTATAGTTCTCTCTCTCTCTCTCTCTCTCTCTCTCTCTCTCTCTCTCTCTTCAATTTGAAGTCTTAATGGGAGCAAGGAGGGCCTCAGCTGTCAGCAGCCGGCGATTCCAGCCACCTAGGGCACCACTACCTCCTCAAGCCGCTGGCCCTTCCTGCCCTGCCCTTTCTCGCGGCAGCTGTGAGAGGTTTAGGGGAAAACCAAGGCGTTTTCGTTTCATCTGGCTGTCCCCTTTAAAAAAAAATAAAAAGAAAGAAAGAAGAGAAGAAAATGAAACACTTGGCTATCCCTGGCATAGATGGGGGAAAAAAACCTCTCTGAACGACTCAGGGCTACCAGAATGGAGTCCTAAGCCTGTCATTCGGGATGCAGACTTCTGCGGGAGGCAGCACTTTAGGGACCCACGCTCCAGGATCGGCCTATGGTCGCCCCGTGCAAAATTGCAGCTGCCCGAGGTGGAGAGTGTGGGAAGGAAGTGTTTCTGCGGCAGCGCAGGAGGCGCGGCGCCGCGGGGTAGGCCAGGCCCTCCTCGCCCTCTGCACCCCACACCTCCCGGTCCTCGCCCAGCTCTGCTGATTCTCTTCCCGGTTAGACTGTGCCCGAAGAATCTGGAAGCTCCAATCATCTCGTTTCCACGTCGCCATACTACGCAGGGCCCTGCCAAGGCCAGGTGGAGAGGTTTGGCCCCTCCAAGCTGTCGGTGCATCCGAGAGGGAGCTCCCCAAGTCCCCGCGTTCTGTGGCTGTGAGGCCGCGGTGCACCGATCTCTACTCGGGGTCCCCGGTAACGGTAACTGGTTCCTGCAGCAGGAGCGGCAGGAGGACTACCCTCGCCCATTTCTCCTGGCCGCCCTCCTGTATCGTCCCTGACTTCGGCACACCATATATTTCTGGACCCGGGGCTCTTGCAGAGGGACACCCAGGTTCCCTCCACGTCCTTCCAGGCCTGGGTTCCTGCAGCGTGGGTGACCAGGCACTCCTGCGTCCTACTGTCTGGGTGCTCCCCTTTCCTCCCAACCTGGTGTCCCCACGTCCTCTGGGTTCTGGGCTCTTATAGCGGGATCGTCTGGGGTCCAGCAGAATATTTCCGGATCTGGGGCCCTGCAGCAGGGGTGCCTGGGCACCCCCGTGTCCTGCCAGCTATCATCTCCCTTTATGTCCTCCCAGCCCAATGCTTCCCATGCCCTCTCCAACCTGGGTTCCCACAATGGGGGCGCCCAGGTTCCTCCATGTCCTCCCGGTCCGCCCCCCCCCCCCCCCCCCCGCACTCACCTTGAAGGCGACTGGCAGAGTCTTGTTGCAGCGCCAATGCGAAGGCAGAACGGAGCAGAGGAAGTTGGGGCTGTCGGTGCGCACAAGCTCTCCCGCGTGGTCGGCCAGCACGTCCACCATTGAGCGCACCTCGGGCCGGGTGCGGCCGCCGGGGCCCGCGGCAGCCTGCGCGCTCAGCGCGCCGCTGTTCTCGCCCATCTTTCCGCCGCCGCAGGGGAAGGCCGTGGAGGGGGGAGTGAAGCGGCGGCTGGTGCTCGGGTCTACGGGAATACGCATACCGCAGCCGTCAGGGCGCGGGCGGCCGTAGCCGCGGAAAGCAGGAGGCGGGAAGGCGGCGGCTCGGGGCCCGGCCAGCGCGGGGGGCGGCGCCGGAGGGGGGGGGGGACGCCCCGACGGTCGGCCGCGCGCCCGCTAGTCCCGCATCCCGCGCGCGCGGCCGCCCCACGGACTCGGCGGCCGCGGCCCCAGCCCGGATCCTAGAGAATCGAGTGTCGGCGTCGCGGCCGCCGCGCGCGGGGTTAGTACCCCGGGCCGTGGGGCGGGGCCGCGCGAGCGACGCGGGGCGCAACCAATCGCAGCCCCCAGGCTCGGGGTTCGCCCGGCAGGATCGGGCGTCTGGGGCCCGCGCGAGCCTAGCAGGGGCCAGGCCCCGCCCCGAAAGGTCTAGACACCCGCGTCCCTGCAGCCTCGCGGGAGCCGCGGTCCCCCGGAGTCGGGAGCAGTCGCAGCAACCTGGGCAGAAATCGGTTTCCAGCGTTCTGACTGCTCCTCGGGCCCCCCCTCCCTCGGGTCACAGCCTGGCTGCTCCAGCTCTGGCCACCGCAGCCCGGAACCTGCACCCTCAGCTGGTCGCTGCGGTGACACCCAAGGCTGGTTCCTCACTCCCTCTACCCCACAACAATTTTGATCCTAGAGCTTCCACCCTACGCGAGATTCCACGTTCCCCAGCTCCGCACGGCCTTGGCCCTCTGTAGCCTCTGTGTCAACATTCAAGGCAAACAGAATGGGGGTTCCCACACGGATCGACAGTGGGTTGGGGTCAACCACCCTGCTCCTGTCCAATCAAAACTAGTTTCAGGATCTCATAAGCCTCTCCGTCGTGGCGGCCCGCGGCTCTTTGAAAAATACAGCAGGGCCTGCATCATGTGTGCTTTTTGGTGTCACCTCCCCTCCCCCTTATGCATGCACCTTTCCGTGACGTGGAAAGGGACACAGGTCTGTGGCAGGAAGAAAGCTGTCAGTGACTTGGAGAGGGGCCGGACTGATTTCTCCCTGTGGGTAGAAAGGGGTCTTCCTAGGGCAGAGCCATCGTCTTCTTGGCCCCAGTGCGCCAAGGGGCTCTGTAGGAAACTGGTCCCAGGGTCTGCACTGTTACTCATGCCTGGTGGCCCAGCCATTCCTGGGGTACGCAATGCCAGCAAAGCTTCCTTCTCCCGGCTCCTAGGCCTGGCATGGGTGCACAGACGCACAACTATAGGGCTACAGAGGAGAGGAGAGCCTGACGAAGCCCACAGTCACTGGGTGCCGCCCCCTCCCCAGGTGCACTCCTGGGACTGCTGAACGAATGCCTGTGTTTCTCTAGGTTCTTTGGAAATTCGACTGCATTTTCGTTGCCAGCAGCGGTGGACGTGTCTCTAACGACCAATTCCAAGCCCCAAGAGCGACGCTACCTAGGATCCAAAGGCAGCGGCATCAAGACTTCATCCTGGAGCCCAGTTTAGCACACTCCATTTTGTTAAAAACGAAATCAGGCCCTGGGTGCACGACAGTGGGAACGAGCTCTGTCCCCTAATCCGAGGAACACCCGAATTGTCCCGCCCTGCTCTCTGGGCCTCAAGCCAGCGCCCCAGGCTATCGAGGAAGCGAGGGATAGTGAGGGTCCCTTGCTGGACATTTTAGTGAACTAGTGACTCCGAGTCGCCCATCACTAGACCGAAGTCCTTGCGCAACGACCTCAGGACCAGAGGAACTCCTGGAAGCCTGGCTATGGTACAAGTGCCCTCAGGGGCCTCCCCTGGAAAGGGACCACTGCTTGCCACCAGGTAGGGATCATACCCACGACGAGGCACCTACTTTGCCCTCGAATGACTGCGGGCCATGACCATGACATGGGATCCTCAGTGGTGTGTAAATTCGATTTCTCCAGTCGTTTCCAGTTTGCATCTGCCCCGTTTATTAGCCCCTCCGCAGGATTTCTCTTTATGTCCCTACAGCGAGTTAACAAACAGGTTTCCAGAGAATGAAGTTCTGGTGTAACCTTGTGTCTGACCCCAAATCCGTACTCTGCTACAACCCTTGGAAGGCACCTGCCCCCTGTGGGCACCAGAACGAAGGATTGGGGAACTGTACGCAGCCCGACTTCTCGGGCGCAGGGACGTTCGGGCTGAAGCAGTGATCGGAACCTCCCACTAGTTGGCGCTGGCGCCTTGCTGGCTGCAGCGTCGCCCGCCAGACTCAGCGCACAGATGTGCGCCAGCTGCAGTGCCTTGGTTTTCCCGGGAGCCGTGAAAGAACAGCTTTCTGACAGAGTGCTTGTTCGCCTCACTGTATCTGCGGCCACGTTTTGGACAACGAAAAGCGTGGTGTTAGTTCAATGGCTCGCCCTGGCTCTAATGGATAGGTGCCCTCATCTGGAGTTTCGGACACCGAAGGGCCTGCGACCAGCAGAACTCTCTCCAACAGAAAACGCACCCTACTTCTGTTCCAAGACCCATTCTGAGACTAGGATAGAAGGCTCAGACTTTCATCCTTAGATCCGTCTGGTGCCCACACAGTTTCCTTCTGCTGTTCTGTACTGACAAACCTAGACCTACCTCGGTATTGTCAGTTTTCAGACGGGGAGAGCCCCTGCCACCAACCAGGACTCATCCATCACACCCTCTCTCCCCCATATGATCTGTCTCCTTTTCTGTCCTACTGAAAGACACTATCCTGCTGTCTCTCAAATGCCCCATTAAAGAGCACCTCGGTGTGTCCTCTACAGGGCCAGGAAGCCCGAGGTCGGAGCTCCTCTCTCATATGCCTGTGTGTTGCTGGGTAAATTGGACCAGCCTGGGTCAGCTACAGCAGCCCCTCTCCTGAGAGGGACCCCCACCTAAGAGAGGGTTCTAGTGGCCTCTTGGCAGTGTGGTGCTGCCCCTGTCTCCAGAAGGACGGAGTAGGTCTGATTCCTTGGGAGTCTGGAGCCTGGGGAGGGTCGACTTTGGAGAATCTGTTTCTGAGCTATGCTCTGGTTTATTACTAAGTCTGTCTTCCTTCATCACTCTGGTCTAAGAACCCCGCATCAAATATCCTTGAGGCTTCCTTTCATCTGTACAAGGGATAACAGCTGCGCTGGTAATAATGTGTAAAGTGTTTGACAGGGCCTAGCACAGAGGGATGCTCTGTCATGCCGGCTGTCTTTGGCAAGTGCCGCACCCTCAAAGGTGACACACCCACAGCTTGCCAGGACTCAGAACCCAGACTAAGGCCATGGCCATCTTGACCCATTTTCCTCCTAGGCTGGCCGGAGGGCTACCTGGGACCTAAAGACTGTCTGGTGCCTGCCTTGAGACAGGGCTAGCCCTGGAGGCAACCCTTCAAGGGCTTTCTTGCCTTCCAGGCTCCCAGACTCTCACTATCTCCCTTCCACAAGCAGCCCTGACGTAAACAGCAAGTCACCACCAACACCATAGTCCCCACCCTGCCCACCCCTGGAGGTGTCTGTTCCCTTTAGAAACTGAATTTATCCATTCTGGTCCTGGCACCCACGTGCGAGGGGATCCTGCCTCCTGCCTAGTCCCTGGAACTCTCAGGGGACTTTCCTGCTCACAAGGAACTTCACTTCTCTTGGACACCGGACACCACTGTTTGATAGGGAGGAGGCTAAGCGGTTCCCGCTGGGAGGGAGGAGCAGTGAACCTCCCCTAAAGGCCAAGAAAGAAAAAGCCAGAAAGTAAAGGGAGTTCTGCATCCCATTTTCAGATACACGATATAAAATATCAAAATACAAAAGATGTCGTGTAACCTGGCTGTGCACACACACTGAACCAATCAGCACCTGTGACGGAACACAGTAATACAGCTAAATTCCTGAAGCGGGGGGGGGGGACCCCTACCTCAGAAGTTTCAACTCTGCAGTCACCTCTCCTGGGTGACTTGAGGGAAGGATCCAGAATGGGTGGGTGGGTGGGAGGATGGGTGTGTTTTTCAATTGCAGAAGGGATAGTCAGACTTAGGGGGGGGGGCAGGGGAGCGAGGGACATCATTCCTAGCTCTGTGGGAGTCTGGTCTTCAAATGGAACCAGGCTGGGAAACCAGTCCTTCCTTGGCAGATCGAGAACCGGGCAGGTACATCCAGGGCTGAGTGCAGACTGCAGACCGAAGGGGAGCGCAGTGCTTCAGTGTGTTAAGCAAAGTAAGGCTGCCTTCAATTGGAAGGAGGGAGGATGAGACCCCAGCACCCAGAGGAAAGCGGGAGGACCAGAGCTGGTCCAATTCCCTTTGGCTTCAAGTTCCCATCTGAACGAGGAGAGTGCACTTCCTAAGTTGTTCTTGGTTCCAGCTGACTCTCCAACCCCAGGGACACCAGACAGGTTTTGTCCGTGACCAGAACCTATGAGCCATCCCCCGCACTCCCAGAACACGTTTGCCTTTTATAGGATGGGGACTTCCTCCCTCCTATCTGTCCTATCTGGCTGCAGAGCAACCCTGAGGGAGGTCATTGGGTTTCCGAGGTGGGGAGGAAGCCCACTGTAGCCTCCATATCTGGAGAGAGTTGGTCCAGCCTGGTAGCGCTCTTAAGCAGCTGAGAGCCCCGGTTCTCAGACCCTCTGTTGCGCATGCTCGCTCACTCCCTCGCTCAGCCTCCCGGTGCCCCTGCAGGGCAGAGGTTTCATTCTCTGGGTTTCCAGGATGATTTGGGCTTCCAGAAGAATGCTCTTCCTCTGCACCAGATCAACAGTCACCTTGACTCCCCACCAGCGCCACAGCAGGGACCCCCACTTTGTACCTGGAGCCCAAGGGGATTCTGACCAAAAAAAAAATCTGTAGTTTCCCCCCATCTCTGCCTATCATCTCCACATGGCTCAGCATGGGGTGACTCCTGCAGTAGGCAGGGACAGGAAGGGCTCCTCCCCTATAAGTGGCAGTCACCTCTACACTTCCTGCTCACTTATGCCTCCTTAGAGCATTTTTAGGGGGCTGTTGTCTTCATGTCCATTTTACAAGTGAAAAAAATCAGAAGTACAGAGAGGTTAAGAAACTTACACAAGGCTACACAGCTGGGAAACCACAGAACTGGGATTCCATCCAGGCAGCCTGACCCCAGAGCCCATGTTCCTGACCACTCTGCTTGTCTCATGGGGAAGAATCAGTTTGGAGAAGTGACAGCCAAGGGACAGAATTAGAATCCTGGCAGAGGTGTCCTGGGTTGGCTTCAGAATACGAGTGTCAAAATGAAGCCCCTA